CCGGGCGGCTCTGGGAGGTCCCGGCGCTCCCGAGCGCCTGTTCCAAGGTTGCAGATGTTTCTGTGAACCTGGACTGAGCCGCGCAAACCTCATTTCCCCGTGGACAAATTCCAACAGAAACTATGGTATTTGGAAAGAAGGGGAAAAAAAAAACCAACTAGGAGAGAGAAAGAGGGTCTGTTCCTTAAAGCGGTATCGCGCCTGGGAACAGCAGGAGCTGCACTCCCTGTTCCTCGCTCACCCTGCCACGCTCCCCAGGGCCCCCAAAGCCTCGCTGCCCCCAAAGCCAGGAGCTGGGCACACGGGGGACCGTGGCCCTGAGCCCACCCGGGCCAGAGCAGAGTGTCCCTGGGCACAAGCCGGGCAGGAGGAGCCGGCTCAGCCCTTGTGCACAGGCTCTGGCCTTTGAGCAGCTCTGCCCACAGGTCCCTGTGCCAGGGAGCTCTCCTGAGCTCTCCAGTGGCTCTCCTGAGCTCCCTCCTCCGGACTCCTCTGAAGCTCCTGTTCCTGCTGCTGCCTTTGGCTCAAACAGCTTGTGCCATTTAATACAGGAACTACACCTCATTGAGAGGTAAATGGAAGAGGCTCTGAAGCCTGGAAGCCTGAAAGAGCCACTTTCACCTGAGGGCCAGCAGAAGAGAGCAGCCAGTTTGCACCACTAATGAAGTGAAGAATTCAGCATTAACAGGAGACGTCCGTGCCGTAAGGAGCCTGTAGCAGAGTGAAATAAGCAGTTGGATGGAGCAGGCCCCCTCCTGCTGCTCGGGCTCAGGAAATGTTGGCAAAGCACTGACCACTGTTTGCATCGAGAAACAACTGCAAAATGAACTCTGCATCCCTTGAGAAATTCTGACAGCATAGAATCTGCTTTCACCAAAACCAGTCCAGAGACACTGAAACAATTTTGAGAGCGTAGTGCCATGTCCCAGGAGCCAGGTGTAATGTGGAACACAGAGCAGGGCACTGATCTGCTCAAGGCTTTGTTCGAGCATCTTTGTTTGCACCCAAGTGTTACCTCATGGGCACTGGTCGGGAATCAAACTCTTCCAGTGACTCTCCATTCCATGGCAAGGTCATAGGAAAGTGTCAGAGCCTCTCCATTTGCAGAGCAGCAATGGGCATTTGGCTCTGGCAGTGCTGCCATCCTGTTCCAGGCTGAGGAGTGTGACAGGGACATCATGGGCAGGAAGGCAAGGTGGGGACTCGGGAAGCTCTTGTTCGAAAGTTGGGGAGCTCTCCAAATGCCACAGCAGCAACACTGCCATAAAACTGCAGTCAGGGTTCCAGTTACCTGGGGTCAGCAAATGCCACGTGGCAGCAGGTAAATGTCCTGTCACGATCCCTGCAGGGACATGTGCCCTGGAGCATCCCACACTCGTTAGTGGGCTTGGCTGCAGCCCCAACAC